AGCTGGCTAAAATTAAAACCTAGCTCTACATGTTCCTAAGTAACAACATTTATAAAACATGGTACTAAATCAATGATAAAAATGAAAAAACACTGACAAAAATAAAACACATACAATAAAAAACATGCAATATGTTACAATACTAAACACAAACTACTATCATAACACGCAACATGTATTTGCAAAACTATATACAAACTACAATCAGAACATGCAACATTTTTTTTTTTAATGTTAAATTTTTATGTTAGTTATTTAAATACGTTACACATATTTTAATGTGGTTGCAATACTTTACACAAGCTATAAACATAACATGTAACATGTGTTTACAATACTATACACAAACTACAATCATAACACGCAACATGTATTTGCAAAACTATGCACAAACTACAATCATAACATGCAACATTAACTCTACTAACATACTAACACTTTACTAACCAAGAACTCTAAAAACGTTTTTAATATAGAAACTATAGCCCGATTCACAAGTACCTACGACCACTGCATGATTATTTTCAATTGTAATTTGGAGAAATATAAACCATATAAATCAACCAAGTATAATTTTTTCAAAGCTGATTACAACTCTATAATCTCCAATTTACAAAATGTAAATTGGTATTTACTAGCCAAACAAAATCAAGATGTTGAAACATTCTAGCAAACTATCTGTAATTTTTTACATTTATCTATCTCATTGCATGTACCGTTAAATTTTAACAGAAAAAACAATATCTAACCTCTAGCCATCCAAAAATTAGTTTCCAAAAAACGTTCTCTCTATAGAGATTACAAAAGAAAAGGTAATTCATTTACTCTTGTCAAATTCAAGATCTGCTCCCATTTATATGATGCAGAAGCTCAAAAAAATTGCATTTCGAGAGAGAAAGATTTAGTTATTAAATCCAAAATCGCCAAGTTTTACTCTTTCGTAAATAAAAAATCCAAATGCTATAATTCTGTTGCGCCATTACTTTAAACTGATGGTTCCCTTATAATGGATGATTGTGAAAAATTCCAACTTTTGAACATTTTTTTTGGTTCTGTTTTTGTTACTGACAATGGTATTGCACCAGTCTTAGATTTACCAAAACATAAAAATTCTTAAAATAATATTATATTTTCCTACAATTCTGTTATTTCTCATCTACAAAAGTTTCCATCCGAATTCTCCAAATCTCCTGATGGATATCCTGCCATATTTTCAAAGTCAATTGCAAATGTTATTGCTATTCTTTTTTCTATTCTGTTTGAAATGTTAAATGTTATCTCTAGGATCTGGAAAACCGCAATAATATGTCAAGTATTTAAAAAAGGAGACCCGTTGTTATCCACAAATTATAGACCTATTTCTATGACATGTATTGTCTGTAAAGTTATGGAATCAATTATCACGGAAAGCGTTACAAGTTATTTACTCCTGAATAACTTCATTTTTGTGCATCAGTACGGTTTCTTAAAACGTAGATCCTCATGTACACAGATGTTGACAACATTAAATGAGTGGACCACTGCTGTTAATAATAAAAAGATAGTTGATATCATCTATATAGACTTTGAGAAAGCCTTCCATACTGTGTTTCAGTCTAAGTTACTATTTAAACCAGGGGTGTGGAGTCGTAAAAAAAAAGTAACGACTCCGACTCCTACTCCAGTTGTTGAAATTTTTTGAGTACAACTCCGATTCCGACTCCAACTCCAAAGCAAAATTTTTGAAAAATTCTTTGAATTCTTTAAAAAATATTGCTCGGTAAGTTGAAATTTTTTTTGTGACAAAATTATGAAACATTCTTTGATGTTTAGTATGAACATAAGGTTAATTGAATGTTTTTTACATGCACGTGCAATACCAAGAACTTTTACTATCGGAGTCAAAGTCGCGATATTTTTTAGCGACATTGACTCCGGTAAAATTGTCGCGACTCCGACTCCACAGCCCTGATTTAAACTGCGTTGTTACGGTATCAAGTATGAGTTGCTAAATTAGGTTACAAATTTCTTGACAAATTGTTCTCAACGTGTTTGTATTAATGATTCATACTCAAACAGCATTCATGTAAAAATAGGAATACCTCAAGGAACTGTTTTGGGACCCATTTTATTTTCAATTTTTATAAACGATATAACCTCCTGTATTGAGGGGGATTGTGGAATCAAGCTTTTTGCAAACAATAGCAAGTTGTATCAAGTGAGAAAAGACGGAAATAATATCAACCTTATAAATACTTTAAAAAGATTTTCAGAATGGTCAAATAATTGTCAACTCAATAAATCTACCAAAAAATGTTTTCACCTGCGATACGCAAATTTACTGTTTTAAACTTGGTGTTACATAAAGTAATTCTCCAATTACCTGTATCACCTTTTTGTATTTTTATTAAAATGCAAATAAATTGAAATAATAAAAATAAAAATAATAAAAACATGTGTTTGCAATACTATACACAAACTACAATCATAATGTTCAATATTTGGTTGCTACAAACTATAAATTTTTAGGATGAAATTTAAAAACCTATTTATTAGTCAATTTTTCACATAACATACTTTGTACTGAATGAATTAAATTTGAAAAACAAACTGTTAAATGCTCTTGTTTTTGAACACGCAACACGTATTGAGTGAATTGCTATTGTTTAAGGTATAAACCAACCTTATCAAACAACGAGTTGCATCCTTTTTATGTAACTGTTACTTTATGCTCAAGTAACATTATTTGTTTAGCTCTTTTACCCTTGAGTATCAGAGTTTTGGAATTTTCTATTGCCTTTATGTTTTCTTTACAATTTGTTGTTCTTTTAGAAGAAACTACTTTATTTGTCTTTAACACTCCTCTCTGTTTTCTGTTAACTTAAATATAGTTGCTTGCAGGTTTGTTAAATTAAAACTTAAAGAAAGTAATAATAGCTCTATTTTTAAACTTTAAACCTTAATTTATTAGCTAAATTTTTTTGAATGTATAAATTATTAAAAAGGATGAATTTATGCAATTTTTATCTTGAAACATTACAAATTTTGTTTTTGTTTTTAAAAAGTGTTTTTTTTTTTATATTTTTAAAATGCCTAATTTGATGGTATGTTTTAAACTTTTTAAAGTAATGAGCAACCTATAAAATAATTTAATTACTTTTTTGCATTTCACTCAGTGAAGGTAAAATCTTTTTACAATTGTAATTGTGAAGTTCTTATTGGCTTTATTTTATATACAGATTAGGTTCAAAGAGATAACAAAATAGTTTAGTTTAACCTAATTATTTTCATATCAAATCTTATTGTGGAAATTTAGTATAATGCAAATATGTCTCAATTTCAAATTCTTTTAATCATATTGTGCAACTTAAAATAGTAACTCACCATAGTAACAGTGGTATATATATGTATGTATATATATATATATATATATATATGTATGTATATATATATATATATATATATATATATATATATATATATATATATATATATATATATATATATATATATATATATATATATATATATATATATATATATATATATATATCTTTGTATAGTAGTCAAAAGAGACTTTAATTGTAAAAAAAAGTCTCTTTCAAGGCTTATTTTCAAATAATTAAGCAACATTTTACTGTTTATTAAACGTTAAAACAATTGTAAAAATGCGGAAGTACAGTAGGTTTTTTTTGTTTTTTAAAACATGCAAGGAGTGTTGCTACATCAACTGACAAATAGGTAGTACATGCGAGGAGTACCTTGACTGATAAATAGGTAGAATATGCAAGAAATGCTGCTACATCGACTGAGGATTTGGTTTGAGCAAGCAATCTATTTTAAAAAAAAAATACTTATTCAATTTTCAAACTTTTTCTGGTCTGGTTTATTAGCATTCGATTTAAAACAATAGTTAACGGAAGAAATTTTTTAATGTATATAAATATATATATATATATATATATATATATATATATATATATATATATATATATATATATATATATATATATATATATTTAATAAAAAATAAAACTATGTGATTTTCACAACTTTAAATTCATGCAATTTTAATAATCAGGTAAAACACAAATATAGTTTTTTTGTTAAAAAAACTATACAATTTGAACTAGTTATGTAAAGCTATACCTAAAATTCTATCTTCAGTATCATTTTAATGGCATGAAAGTTTAAGTTGTGAAAATCATGTAGTTTAATTATATTGCAGCGATTTAAAATTGAAAATCACGAACACTACTCAGATAAATCATTAAAAACTACTCGCACAATATTCTTTAACAATTTCTTTATCTAATTTTTTCCAAAATAATTTATATATTAATTATATCTTATATCAGTATATCTTTCTTGATAGTATATGCACTTTAAAACAGCATTACTACATATATATATATATATATATATATATATATATATATATATATATATATATATATATATATATATATATATATATATATATATATATATATATATATATATATATATATATATACATATACACATATAAATATATGTACATTAAACCTCTAAAATTATGAAACTAAAAATCTTGTTTTTCTAATTATATATAGTATAAATAATTATATATTAATTATATCTTATATCAGTATATCTTTCTTGATAGTATATGCACTTTAAAACAGCATTACTACATATATATATATATATATATATATATATATATATATATATATATATATATATATATATATATATATATATATATATATATATATATATATATATATATATATATATATATATGTACATATACACATATAAATATATGTACATTAAACCTCTAAAATTATGTAACTAAAAATCTTGTTTTTCAGAGTTATTGTGAACAACTCTGCATAAGTTGTAAATATATTGTTTTGATTGTTAAAGTGTGTTATATTGGGTGTTATATTGTGGTTGTATTGGATGGATAAATACCACAGCGGAAGTGTTTTTTTATTTATTTATTTTTAGTTTATTTTATTTCACTTTTTTAGGTGTACAATCTAACATTTTTTTTATAACACACAATTTTCTGGAAGAAAGTGATACCGAAATAAAAAGCAAAAGTAATGATCATGAAGCTAAATATGTTGCTGCATTATGTAAATATCTAATGTTGCAAGGCTATAAACCTGATCAGATTACAATATTGACTCCATATACTGGCCAGTTAATAAAGCTAAAAAAATACATGCCCAAAGAAAAGTATGAAGGTGTTCGAGTAACAGCTGTTGATAACTTTCAGGGTGAAGAAAATGAAATAATACTTTTATCTCTTGTGCGCAGCAATAATGAAGGCAAAATTGGATTTCTAGGTGAAGATAATAGAGTTTGTGTTGCTTTATCACGAGCTAAAAAGGGGTTTTACATTATTGGTAACATAGATTTTCTTGCTAAATACAGTGCATTGTGGAAAAAAATTAAAATAAGTTTAGAGAAAGTTAACTGTGTTGGTCCTGCTCTGCAGCTTTGCTGCCAAAATCATAGTTCTGATCCAGGTATACGAGCTTCTAAATCTGAAGATTTTTTGAATGCTCCTGAGGGTGGTTGTCAAAAACCGTGTGAAGCCAGATTAGTGTGTGGTCATGCTTGCACACTTGCTTGTCATGCCTATGACAAGGAGCACAAAATATACAAATGCCAAAAAACATGCAACAGAATAATATGTGATTTTGGACATTTTTGTAAAAAGAAATGTTTTCTTGAATGTGGCAATTGTACAGTGTTGCAGCCAAAAAAACTACCAAAATGTGGACATACGCAAGATGTTCCATGTTCACAAACTCCCAGTTCTTTCATATGTTTAGCTCGCCCATGTAATTATAAACTGAATTGTGGACATTATTGCTCAAATGCTTGTGGTGAAAATCACACAAAGCAATGCAAAACTATTGTTCCTTATTATTTTCCAGAATGTAACCATACTGAAAAGGTGGAGTGTTATGAGAAATTAAACAATCCATCTTGTAAAACAAAGTGTCTTGATATACTTGATTGTGAACATAAGTGCAATGGTAATTGTTCCACTTGTTTTCAAGGTTTTATTCATGAAGCATGTTCTAATAAATGCAGCCGAATTTTGGTATGTGGACATGAATGTTTAAGTCCATGTGCTAAGAATTGTCCTCCCTGTGAACGTAAGTGTCAAAACCGATGTATTCATAGTCGCTGCTTATCAAGATGTGGATTACCTTGCAATCCATGTAGAGAACCTTGTGGGTGGAGCTGCCCTCATTACAAATGTTCTAGGTTATGTTATGAACCTTGTGACCGTCCTCGCTGCAATAGGAAATGTGAGCAACGATTAAAATGTGGTCATCCATGTATTGGTCTTTGTGGTGAGTCTTGTCCTGATAAGTGTCGCTACTGTGATAGAGAGCATGTGCAAGAAATATTTTTTGGAACAGAAGATGATCCAAATGCTTGTTTTGTTCAATTGGAAGATTGCAGACACATTTTTGAAGTTACTGGTTTAGATCAGTGGATGGATCAAGAAAACAGTGAAATAACAATGAAAAAATGTCCCAAATGTAATGTAGTCATTCGGCGAAATTTAAGATATGGAAAAGTTATTAAAAAAATACTTAATGACATCGAAACTGTTAAAAAGCAGTTTGTAGGTGAAGCTAAAGCAATAAAAGAAAATATAGTTATTGTACTGGAAAACATTGAAAATTTAAATGCTGACATAGCAGATTGCAGTTTGCTAGGAATTAGTGAATTCAACATTGAAAGAATTAAATCAATTTTAAAAGAATGCAAAATTATAACAGAAGTTAATGGATACAATTATATAGTTTTATTTTTAAGCCGTCTATGCAAAATATGGAAAGGTTTATCTAAGGATAAAAGTTTACAAGATTCAAAAGATGGTATAGAGTTGAAAGATAAAATAAAGAGACTTTGTCAGTGGTTGTTAAATCTTCCAAAGCTTACACATCAACAAATAGTGGAGACAGATAGAGAGATTATGAAATTTTTTTTAATGCAGAGGTATCTTCAGACAAATAAAGAATTAAAAAATAATAAAAACAATCTTTCAAATAAGTTGTTGCTATGTATAGAAAAAGTTGAAAATTATCTTTTTTCCAAAAAACCATTAAGAAATGCTGAAGTTTTAATTGCAGAAGTTGAAAAGCTAATGAAAGAAATTGAAAGATTGTTTCCTAAGTCTAGTCTTGGTGTTTCTGAAGAAGAAAAAAAAATGATTATTCGTGCAATGGATTTAAAACAAGGACACTGGTTTAAATGTCCAAATGGTAAGTTGTTTATACTTTTAGTTTTCATTTGTAACTTTAGTATTTTAATTATAAATGACTATTATAGATAGTTATATCTATAATAGTCTAATATTTTTCACACAAACAACTCGTGTTTGTGTGAAAAATATTAGATAAATTGAACCACAGAGTTTATTTATATTTATATTAAGATTATAATCTATATTATTATATATATATTATTAAGATTTATAATCAAAAAAATTCTAAAAATATAGTAAAAGTAAGTGTTTTAAGTTTTAAGTTAAGAGATTTTAGTTGGGAATTGTTTGTATGCTTATATGAATTCATAGTTTACAGTTTAATATATTCACATTTCACATAATTAAATAAAGATAATTTAAAGTTGCAAGCAGAATATAATTTCAATTTTTTTTTATAACTAATTATAATATTTTAGTGAATGTAAGCAGTAGGTGGTAATGATTTTGGTTCCAAAAAATAGGCCACCCATAGTTAAATAAAGTCATATAATTTAAGGACTTTAGATAAAAAATAGAGTATGTTAGAATTTGAACTAATATGTTAAAATAAATTCATTTTAGAGCTTTATTATGAAGATAAGTTAGTCTAGGGAAAAATCTAAGCTATCTGCTTAGATTGTCCCACAACTTGACAAGTATATCTGAGATAAGAGTAAAAAATGTTATAATATAAAAGGCAAAGTTTCATAATTTACATAAATGATGAGTTTATGAGCTGACTTTAGCTAACATGCTGTTCATTCTGCTTGCTTTCAATATTAAGTTTTGAAGATGCGATGCAAAAGACAAATTAGTATTTTGATTCCAAGATATTTAATGCAAAAGATAAATTAGTGTTTTGATTCCAAGATATTTAATGAGTAGAATTATTTTTAGCTCAATCTGAAATTTAATTGCTTAATTATTTTTGTTTAAATAGATTTAAATATAATAATTAAATAATAGATTTAAATATATTTCAGTTATAATTTCAGTTTTTTTAGAAGAAAGTGAAAATTTATTGATGAGCTTTATTGTTTATTAAATTTATTAAATAAACAAATTGAGCCATCACGATACATTAAAGAAGGGAAATAACTCACTATTAGCCAAATTCATTTCAGAGGCCTGGTCTCAAAATTAATTTGATATAAGGAAAAAAGTAAAGATGGTAACTTTGTTATTAAAAAAAATCAACTAATCATTACTGTCGCTGTTGCTATTAGTTCCTAATTCATCATGCTTAAAAATTAAAATGATTAAAAAAGATATTTTCCAGGAATTGTGTAAAAAAATGCAAATGCAATTTATGTTTTTTAAAGCTAAAAAATAAACTTAAGCCTAACAGGCTATTGAATATTGTTATTAAATGGCAAATTGTATTTTAATGAAGTTTCACTTAAAATATCGAAAATTACAACTGAATGGTCATCAAACAAGATGTTTTACAATAAGAAAATTAGTGATGATTTATATATATATATATATATATATATATATATATATATATATATATATATATATATATATATATATATATATATATATATATTTTAATATCTTCGTTTCCAACAAGGCTGCAAGCAACCACTAATTAGTGTTGGAAGTTACTGCAAGAGAAAAGGTGAAGGTTTTAGAGCAAGATCACAATTGACAGATGACTTAAAAGATTGCAAATTATATGAATATAGTTTACAGATATTGTGACCATAAAAAGAAAAGGAACTGCGGACTTCCTGAAAAAACATACACAATGCTACAAATTTGCAAAATAAAATAGTCACTTGGTTAAATGTTACATGCATTAAATCTATGAGTATAAAATTATATATTGACTATTTGAGATTAGTTGTTTTACTTTTTGATTGTTTTATTCCTAAAATAGAACACTCCAGTTGTCCTGTTAGTTCTAGTAGGTTGTGTACTGGGTTGATTATTTTTACTTTTGTGTTTTTTAAAACATAATAATAATAAAATACTAAATACAATGAAAACTATAAAAGAAAAGATTTGGGCTTTTTCTTGCTCAGAACAGTTTCAATGTGTAATTTTTTTTTTTAATTAACTGAGTCCTAAAATAAAAAAAGAGATGACAATTGGTGTATCAGCATATCCAGAACTAAACTATTTCCAAACAGAAGTATAATTGTTTAAATATTGAAATAACACTTTTAAGAAATGGCTGTTTAGTTGTAACATGTTTATTTTGTATAAATGAAATTGAATTTTGAACATGAATCATTTGTCTGTCAACATTTACATTACAAATACTCACAAAGAACTGCCTTTGTTTTATCAGATTATATTTGTTTTAATACCTCATTATTTGATCCAATTATACTTCACATAGATTACGCTAAAATTGAAAAAACTCACGTAAGATTCATATTATAATAATACTTGAAGAAAAAATAACACATTTAAAAAGAGTACCACAAGGGTCACTAATATCATGCCAAATAACACTGAAATTACTGATGTACAAAGTTTATATGACAGTTTAAAAGGCATAGCATATTTCTCGTTAATAGAGAACTTTTTGATACTGGTATTGTAAATATTGACCTTAGTAACCGGATGGCTCCAATATGATATGGTATTAATTAAATATAAGCATAGAACAAAATACAAAAAATGACATGATTACAGAAAACATAAAATTACAGCTGCTTGACCACAAACTTGGTTTTTTTGGAAAACTTTTAAAGTTATACATTATATTGGAATGTTTCTTAAAATAGGACATCTACACCAGGCCTAAGCCATTTAGGAAATATTTAAAAAGGTAAATTATTTGAAAACTTTTTTCTAAAGCATAAGTTGAAAAATGCTTATACTTTATTAGCCTAATCAACAAATATGTTTGTAGCTTTGATAAATTAGGTCCATCAAGAAGTTTGTTAGACTAGAAAACTTTACGTTTTTTAATCATACCTGCTAGAGACCAATACATCAAACGTAGTTAAATTGAACAAAATAATACTTTATTTGTAATTGTTGAAGAAACAGTAAATTCAATATATGAATAAAATAAAATGAAAAACTAAAATTATCTTGAAATCAAGTTTGCAATCTAATTTTGTTATGTTAAAAGTCAAATTTGACAATCTGGTTTTGTTATGTTAAAATCATTAAGAAAATTTATACTTTGTTATGTTAAAATCATTAAGAAAATTAATACATAATTTTTCTCATTGTAATATTTTTGAGAGAAAAGCAATTTTAACATTTTAAAAATTTCGTTTTTGAACTTGTATATATAAAGAGTTCCTTATATAATTTTTTATAACTCTGATAGTTCTTATAATTTTCTCTTTGTTTAATTGTATTTTTATTTTAGCATATCACTTTGTTTTTATGATTGATTCAAGTTTTATTTTAGCTAGTCAGTTTGTTTTTTTTTTTGCATTTTTTTTTTTATTATATAACTGGAGTAATAATGTCTGGCAAATTGTTTGTATTTTATCTCTCTTCTTATAAACTTGTTTTAAACAACTTTTTGTACATTTTCTGATATTGGTAAACGATAGTATTTAAGTAGACCTTTCGAATCCAGAAAAAGTATAAATATTAAGGTGTAGAACAATTGTTGATACTTTATCAAACTGAGAAGCTACCATTTTTAATTTTTTTCCCTACATCTTAGACATAAGTGTGTGGACCGCGTCAAATGAATTTGGCTAATAATTAAATTTAAAGCATTATTTACTTTATTTAAAATAAATAAGTGTGTAATAAACTAATAGGTATCTAATAAAATCTTAGGTCTGATCATGGCTTGATCTTTCTAAAACTATTATCTCATTCTTCTTCATCATCAGAATTTCCCTATCATCATACCTCTTATAACTACTATAAAGCTGCCTGGGACTGTTTCTGTGATTTTCTTTGTTATGGCTCTTGGGTAGAAATCTTTTTTCTTAGGAACTTAAACTTAAAGCTTAGGAACTGTCGTCTATACTTTCAAAACTATTTAACAAGTGCTATCAGAGTCTTGTTTTCCAGCCTGCTGGAAAGCCGCATCTGTTATTCCTATTTTCAAAAACTATGGAGAGCGATCTGACTTGTCTGACTACCATCCCATTAGTCTTCTTCCAATCATAAGCAAGGTTTTTGAGTCTTTAATTAACAAACAATCAATCTCTTATTTTGAATCTAATAACTAACTTTCTGATCATCAATATGCGTTTTGATCTTCTCGTTCTACTGCTAATTTGTTAATGGCAATAACTGATAGGTTTTATCATGCATTAGATAGATGTAGAGAGGCTAAGGCTATTGCTCTTGACCATTCTAAAGCCTTTGATAAAGTTTGGCATGCTGGTGTTCTCTTTAAGTTCTCTTCTTAGGGTGTATCAGGTAACATCTTTAAGATTATTGAATCTTTCCTTTCCAATCATGTTATAAAAGTTGTCCTCGATGGGCAGCACTCTTCATATCCTGTAACTTCAGGGGCTTCTCAAGGTTCTATCCTTGGCCCTATACTCTTTTTAATTTACATTAACAATCTCCCAAAAATTATCACATCTGAGATGCACTTTTCCCTGATGATACTACCATTTATTCTTGTCTTTATAAGAAGCCAACACTCTCTGATTGCTTGGAGGGAGCGTTTGAGCTTGATAAGGATCTCGTATTTGCTACAGCATGAGACTCGCTGTGGCTGTAGTCATCTACCCTTCATTTTCTAAGATTAACTCATACTTCTGATCTTTCTTAGAAACCATATATCAAATCAATTCCAGTTTCTTTTAAATGTCAAAAAATTGATTACAAAAATAAAACAAATGAGTTTTTACTAAATCTAAGCAACCTAATCTGAAAAGTTCAATTAATTGAAATATGCAAATTATGTGCAAGGTTATCTGGACAGAAAAAAAGAATTAGATTTTTTTTTAATTCAAAGTACACTGCTTTAATACTTCGTCAGGAAGCCTTTAGCATTGATTACTGCTTGACAGCGACAAAGTATTGAGTCCAGCAGATTCATAATCATAATGTCAATTTTTCCCTATTCTTGTTTGAAAATTTTGAATAAGTTGTGTTTACTTGTTGGTTTTCGACCTGGAACTCTTAGATCAATTTGTTCCCATTGACGTTCAATAAAATTAAGGTAAGGACTTTGCTAATACCATTCTGTTAATTGAATTTTTTTGATTTTGAAAAAGTCTTTCACAAGGGTTGAAGTATGCTTGCTGAAGTATATTTCAGTAGATCATTTAATGAAAAATGATCCACACAAAACTAATGTCTTGTTAAGCAGGTCAATGACGCAAAGCGCACTTAAGCCCTTGTGAAAGATTAGCAAACAAAAAAAGTTGTATTAATTGTTATTAATAGCTGTTGCTATTGTTACTCTAAATTATACAATTTAGAGTCTAAATTAGATTATTCAAATTGTAAAAATAATAATTGAAGAAATCACCATAAGCAAAAATGTCTTTTAAGTCTTAAAAATTTGTATAAAATAAATTTCAGATGTTTCAAAAATGCGAAAATTGAAAAGTTTATCAACGATTATAATAAGTCATACATGGTTGAGTGAATAAGTAGCAAATAGAATTAAAATGTTTATTCGTATAGGTATTCAACTGCATAAATAGAAATAATACAGTAAAATAAAGTAATACAGTAAATTATTAGGCTTGTTTTTGGTAATTCCATTCAAGAAAAATCAAATTGTTTTTAAACTGTTTTATTCTGATAATACACTTCATAAAATGAAATGCCTTATTTTTCAAAGTTTGTTTGAAAAGTGGTTGCTAAATTAAATTATCATTTCTTAAAATGATTTTATTTTTATCTTTAAAGGTATATAAATTATTAGTTATACTCTTGTAAATTGAAAAAAAAAGAAAAACAACAAAAAAGCAATAATAATAATACAAAACATAAATATTGAGAAAATATCAAGAAATTTCAATTCAAATAAAAGAAGTTAAGCATAAGTTACTCTGTCTTTAAAATTGATAAAACAACAAAAATTTATTGGCAACTCTCAATTAATATTTACATAATTTAAATTACAATGGATAAGGGAGAAATAATTCAAAATAAACTGCATTTGTTTAGGACCAGACCTGGATTTACAAATAAGAACCCAAGGCTTTTGCTTATGGTAAGTTTAGAGGGCAAAAAAAAAAGCATGTAATTGATAAAGAAAAATGGCTGTAGAGAAATTTAATTGAAAACTGGTAAACAGTAATTTTAATTCAGACATGCAAGTTAAAAGTACTAAAGATTCTTTCATATCTATGCAAAATTTGCTTTCTATACAAATTGTTTTTTTTGTGCTTCTTATATTAATATGTAGTTCAGAGGCGGATCTAGGGGTTTTTCTGCGGTGCCCAGGATTTACCCATAATATTTTAAAAATTTTTAATGAATTTTTTTTGATAACTTTAAAGTTACGTGGAATTTAAGCGAAACCATCAAAAAGTTCTATGCACAAAAAACCCCTTTGACACTATTTTTCGGGTTTTTTCATAGATATTTTTCAAAGTAAACGAAACTAAGAGAACCTTTTTATTCAAACATTGACGATAAAAAAACAAAAACTAACAATTTTTAAAATTATATAAATAATAATAATAAAATTAATATATTAAAATTATACAATTTTAAAGAGAAAATAATATTATAACTAAAAATAGATAATTTTTTTTTGCCATGAAAATTTGGAAATAAAACCTTATAATTCTCATCCGATATGCTTTTTTGTCTAAACCAATTTATATTACTTAATAAATAATGAATAATGTGTATTCTACGCAATCAATTTAACAAATTTGATATTTTGATCTTTTAAATTAACGAATTTAAAAAATTTTTTCTTTTAATTTTGAAAATTTAAGATAGTATAATTTAATTTTGAAAATTTAAGATAGTGTGTGTGTGTGTACACACAAATATATATAAACAGATATATATATATATATATATATATATATATATATATATATATATATATATATATATATATATATATATATATATACTTTTTACTTTTTTAAATAGATTTTTTATCACGAAGCAGTTATTTTTTAAAATGTACATAGATTTAATTACAACCTTTTTTGTACTAAAAATTCAAAAATATTTTTTCAAAGTTAATAAACTAGCATGTTAAAGTTTTTTTTGTTGTTTTAAAACTGCCATGAATTAAAAACTTTATGAAAGAAAAGCAAGGCTTTTTTTGAAAAAATCAAAGTTTATATAATATTTTTAAAATTTGGGTGTAAGTGTAATGTAATTGTGACTCTTTTATTTAAGGACATGTTTATTGTATTGGAGAGTGTGGAGGAGCAATGGAAGAAGCTAAATGTCCAGAATGTGGGGCTGGTATTGGTGGTACTAGTCATCATTTAAGAGACGATAATTTGGTGGCTGGAGAAATGGATGGCGCTCGGTTTTCAGCTTGGTCTGAACAAGCCAATATGATAGCAAACTTTCGTTTTGACGATTAATTCTTTTTAAACATTCGATGTTGTTATTTTTTAACGATAATTGTAATTGAAGGGTATTAAAACCAATTAATTTACTGTATCTAAATATAGATCTTTTTAATAATGATAGTAATATTATTAAATGTAACTCAGTAAAATATAAGGAACTTTGTTCCCTATTTTTACTGGGTTTTACTTTGTTCCCTATACTTACTGAGTTAGATATTTTACTTTTTTTAGTGAAATTATATTTTTTGATTTTTTAAAAAAGTGGAGAGCCCAGCAACTATTACCTAATAGAGTTTATTTAATAGACGTTTATTCCTAGATTTTTTAGGCTAAATATTACTTGTGTGTTTATGTTTAATGGACGTTTCTTCCTAGATATGACTTGATATGTGTTAGTTTGGAAAACGTTTTAATGGAATTAAAAAGTTTTCATTTCTAATTTTTTTAGTTTTATTTGATAAAAAAAATATCAGTTTTTAAAACAAAACTCGTCACGATCATGTCTTTTTTGGGGGGTTTTAAGTTAATGGTTGAAATGTATAGTTTAAATAATCTTATATGACATATCTCCAATTTTGCTTTAAAAGGTTTTATTAAGCAGGGGGGCTCCTAAGGTTGTTGAAATCTTTTTTGAGGTTTGCTTTGTAAAATAAATTAAGAATTTACGGTGTAACTTAATGAGATTTAACTTTATGTAAGTTAATATAAATTGTAGTAATGGCTTTGTACTTCGATGAGATTTAATTTAGTGTAAGTTAATATATATTAAGGTAATGGCTTTGTACCTCAATGAGATTTAGCTTAAGTTAATATTAAGGGATAAAGTAAACAATTGCGAGTTTGTTCTTTGGTCAGAGATACATCTTTTTTAGTTTTTTGGTTTTTTTAAATACTTATTTTTTGAAAAACCAATTAAACCGGCTGCTGTTTATAACTAATACTACGAAATTTCTTGTTTAAGGGATCTATGATCTTAATTTATTACTAAAAGTGTCTTACGAGTTTTTTTACTTATTAATTATAAAAAGAGAAAAATTTTGTATAACATTTGAAAATTTGAAAAATCTATAAATATCTAGAATTTGATTTTTTCAATTTATTTTCACTTATTCATCAAGTTTGCGCATAATCAACACCAGGGATCTTGTACTTCTTTGGTAGTCGCTATGCAACTCAACCAATAAAAGTACGGATTGAAAGCTCTGTTTTTTATTTATTTTTGTTTTAGGTGCCCCTAAAACAAAAGAAGACCTAACTTTTTGGCACATAGCACTGCGGAAAAACATTTCAATAAAAAAATTGGCCTTTTTCCTTACCGATGACGCAAAATATTCTTAAAGCTTTCCCCGAACCTTGGATCTCTTGCTTATAAAACGAGAGCTCTAATCAATGTGCAACGGCTGTTTATATTTTTGGTAGCAACTAGTTTTAGGTAGTTACTAGCTATTTTTAGGTATTTATTAAATTGTTTTTGGTTGTTACTGTGCAGTTTGTGGTAGTTCTTAGAAACAATGATTTAATAGCTGTAAAATATCAGGATATTTTCAGTGCCATGTTAATACTCTGGTGTTTTTATTTTTGCATTCGCTGTGTATTGTCAAGGCAACACAATGAGCCCATTTTTACAATTTTGGGTAAATCAGTGGGATTTATATCAGAATGAACAAATTTATTTACATTTATAAATATCAAAAAATATAAGCAAAAAATTCAGGTCTTCTTTTCCCGAATCGGTGCGATTGGTCCAGCAACAATTAAAGCTCTGTAAAAGTAATAAAAATTAAATTTAGTTAAAGAACAAGTGCTTTTTCATTTTATCAGAGTAAACAAGTTCATAGACATTCATAGAAATCCAAAATATATGTAGGAATCCCACTACTTGGGATTTTGACCCAATTACCCCATTTGGGGTAATTGGGTCAAAGGCAATCAAATTTTTGTTAAAATCAAAAAAAATAAACTTTAGTAAAAGAAAGAAAGTTTTTTTATATTGTTAGAGTAAACAAACTCATAAACATTTATAAAAATCCAAAATTTCTTGAAAGAAATGACTTTGTAAACGATAAAAATGCAATGCCTTGCTTTGTCAGACCACTGTTTGAAACACTCCATGTACCTTCTTCTGGGAAATTTTCAATTTGAAAACTCGAGAGAGACTATAGTCATAAAAATGAATAATCTGGAAACACGGTTTGGGAACAATAGGTTTTCCCGTTGATGTTAGGTTCTTATCCGCGGTAGTACCCAGCCTATTTTAAGGTGCAAAACAAAACAAATTTCCTGAGAGATTTATAGCAAAAATACAATGCCTGGAGCAAATTGTTCAGTATATGGTTGTCATACCTCTCGTTATTCACATGGAATAGGTATATTCAGTCTTCCTAAAGGTCAGGATGACTTTACTGTTCGATGGAGAAGAAAATTGACAGAGTTTATAACTAAAGATCTTTTAATTGATTCAGCTTTAAGAAAGCAAAACGCCAGTGAATCTTTGCATATTTGTGAGAAACACTTTAAAGAACTCGAAGTTAATAGAAGTAAGCTTCTATTTAATATGTGTGCTTATATATATATATATATATATATATATATATATATATATATATATATATATATATATATATATATATATATATATATATATATATATATATATATATATATATATATATATATATATATATATATATATATACTATTCAAAAAGTAAATACCATGCTAAGTTAACATAATTTAAATTTAACTCTTTTATTAATCGCCTCATAAATTTTGGCTTGGAGCGTTGATAAAAGTTTATTGGAGCCTCTCAACTTATTGTTTTTAATACTGTGTTTTATACTTAAATTGGTAGTTTTTTGCCAGAATTAAAAAAAAGGTATTTTGTATCCTTTTATTTAAAATATAGCAATTTTTTTTTAAATACAACAAAACAAAATCAAATCCTGGAAAGATATAATAAGGTTCTTGCCGAAAAAACGTAACAAACTTTTAGCTAAACGGGAAAGCAAAAGATAAAATTCAAACAAGTAGTAGAGATTGTCTAAAACTTTGATGTTTACACCTAGTATTAGGTATGTTACATGGAATTATTAAACCAATTAAAAACTAGAATGTTATATATCATTTGAAAGACATGAAAAAATGATCAAAATCAAACAAACCTGTACCAATAAAAATAAAATATATGTTTAATTAAAAAAAAAAAATTTTTAATTTTATCACTCAAATAATAAGCGAAAATATTTTAAAAATTGTAAACAAATCACAAAAAAAATTACGTATAACTCAACAAGTGTTTTTTTAATTACATTTTTTCTGTTGCTCAGGAACCGTAGCCATTTTTTATTTTCTCAAGTTTATAAAATCCTACAACGCACTATGAGTCCAAATCATAAAAAAGTGGCCAAAAGTCGATTTTAAAAACTATTTCAATATTATTAAATTTTTTATAATTTAGAAAGGATATTTGCCCAATTACTGGAAAACATGTTTTGCAGAACTTTTATTACGAGTTTTACAAGTTTTGCGAGTAACGTTAAGCGCTTAATAATTAAAAAAAAATCCGAGAAAATTTCAAGAATTTTTTAAATTTTTTTGAGTTGATTATTTTTTTGCATCATAGCAAACTTTTTTATTTTATTTTCTTATGATATTATAATTACTGTTTCAATAATAAAAAAAAAGCAATAACTCGATTTTTTTAGCTTTCGATTTTGTGTTTTTAAAGAAGAGTTTAAAACTTTTAAAACGTGTATTTTTATGGTCACAAAAACTGAAAAAACTTTAAATGTCCACTTTTCACCCCTTCTTAATTTCTATAACATCATTATGAATGTATTAGGCACAAAAAAAATAATTTTTTAGCTGCTCGAACTTGCTTCACTTCAATAAAATGTCAATTAATTTAGAAAACACTAGTTGAGCCGGAGAGAAAGGAGGGGGAGGGAAGGGAAAGAAAATTGAAAGATACAAAACTTCATATTAGTATTTTTTTTGACTTGAAATATTTAAATTTTCAATACTTTCAATATCTTTCAATACTTCAATATCTTTCAATACTTTCAATATCTTTCTCAACAATTTTAACCGAAAAGACATCAAATTATGAACCTGAGTACATCAAAATTCTCAACTTTTCTGTAAACAGAGAATAAGAAAAGTCACAGAGAAATTAAAAATAAATAAAAGTTCATACTAAAACCAAGGCTATATATATATATATATATATATATATATATATATATATATATATATATATATATATATATATATATATATATATATATATATATATATATATATATATATATATATATATATATATATATATATATATATATATATATATCTGTGGGGGAGTTTGTATTGAAACAAAAAAGAGAATTTTACAAACAAGTATCGAACACCAAACTAATAGAATGAATGGCAATTGGTATGTTTCTGAAGCAACTAAACTTTTCAAAGAATGCTACGGGATATTAGACTGGTTGCACCCATAAACGTTTATTTATAAATGGCAACTATCGTGAGAGGAAATTAAGATAATTGCTTGAAAATAGTTATCGCAAACATCTCAGGAGGTTAAACAATAATACCGGGGGTATTACTGAACAGGAATAGCGGGATGATAGTCGCTTCAAATAGTTGGAAACCACTATTTAAGAAAACCATTTTGAAAAATTGACGTTATTGACGTTGTCTTTGAAATGACTTCTTTACGGTTTTTAATATTTTATTTTGTAACGGTTTTTAAATTTGCATTTTACGTATGATGACGCTGTGATGACATTTTATGTGTGATGACGGTACACATTAGACTAAAATATCACATTAAAGTAGAACGATGCTGTTTTTGATGTTTTATAACTTATTATAACTTTACGTATAACAAGAAATGTCGCTAAAACACATAAATATATGGATTTTTAGCTGAGTTAGTAGGCATTTACTGCCATAAGCAAAGTGCCTCGAGTTAACAAAAAGAAATAATGTTTTAATAGCATGACGTTTACGTTAAAAAATTTTTTTAAGTAACGTAAGGCATTGTGGCTTTGATATTCGGGCAAATATTGCACAAAATATATGGATTTTTAGCTGAGTTAGTAGGCATTTACTGTATTAAGCAACGTGCGCCGAGTTAACAAAAAGAAATAATGTTTTAATAACATGACGTTTACGTTAAAAAAAATTTTTAAGTAACGTAAGGCATTGTGGGATTGATATTCGGACAAATATTGCACAAAAATGCAATAGGCCGGGTAAATAAAAAAAGCAATTGCTTTTACTCAGCGTTTTGGAGTTCAGCTTTACTTGAATAAAAATTTTACCAAGTTCCTTCACGTAAAACTACGCAATTTACTTAAAAACACTGAATAATAGACCTTTTCATAAAGCATTCCGTGAAAACGAGGCAGTGTTTGTAACAATCAAAACAAATCGACGATGTTTAAAAATGGCGATATTGTCTGGGTTGCAATGTGCTTTTTATAAATGTTTTTCAAATAGCTATGATAGATAATGTAAATGGAATTAGAGTTCCAACAAATATTATATTTTTCACATTTTTAACTGTAAAAAGAAATATTTGGTGTAACTTAATAAAAAGACAAGAAAAGAAAGATAATTTAAAAACCACAAATCTACTTGATTATGTCAAAAGCATTTCTTACAAGAAATGGTCCATAAAACCCCATTTGGTACACAAATAAAACTTATAAAAGTTTTTAGGACAATATTGCACTCATGAAATCAATTTTCAGTGTCAGATACATCCAGAAAACCACAAAGTTTCAGACAATGTTTGTTTAAAAATGTCGATGACGATTAGTCTGCATCAGCACAATTTTCATCGCCACAAAATGAAGTAGATATCTCTTTATCGACATTATTGTCAGCGCCACTAGAGGAAGTAGACTTTAAAGTAAATGTTGATGAAGGTAAATTAGTAGATTCATTTATCCAGTATAGTTTATACTGGATTTCCATCAATAACCAAGCTGTTTAAGCATTTTTAGATCCTGGAAAAAAATGGAAAAAACAATTTTTTATAACAACCAATAAACAAAAACACTTTATCTACCGGACGACCAAGAGTATTAAAGCCGCTTGATGCATAAATATATTTATTTATTTTAACATTAACTTGTTTATACGGGAACTTTGATCTTTGTTTTTATTTATTTTTATACAATATTTCAGAAAGAACAGTTTCAAATACTGTAAATACATGGATATATTTTATGTATAAGACATCTGCATATGGCCTTGTATGGAGTGAGTTAGGAAGAAAATTTCCTAATAAATGCAGGAAAAGCTCCCTACTATAAAATGTATGATTGATTGTGTAGAGTACAAAGTTAATCAACTATCTTAATTATTTATGCACAAAATTATGTAATTAGATAATAAAAATCATACAATAGTTAAAGTTTTAGCAGGAAATACACCTGGGGGAGGATTTATGTCTATTACGTTAATCAAGGTAAAACTGACTGTGGCTTTACAATAGCAGAATACTATAGACCACTTAGTGTTAATATTGTTTTACCATTATTTGGTTAAGGGTAGAGAAAAACTTACTATTGAACAAAACAGTTTTAAGTCAACAAATTGCAAACTAAAGAATCCTTGTGGAGAGAATAATATAGAATTTTATAAAATTCAAATATTATAAAGGCCAAATATTATAGTTGGTACATGGTGAAAATAGTATATATACTAAATATATATATAAAAAAATATGATTTGTCAGATCATTGTATAAATTTTAGCAAATTATTTTAGCAAGTAAAATAGTGCTGATATGTAAAGTAAAGAGAAGAAACATAAAGGTGTTGCATTCTACCTGTATCTTTGAAGCTATTTTGTGAAGAATTTAAAAAACAAAGAGAAAAAGACAAAAATACAAAAAAATGCAATAAATAAAAAATTTAATTAAAAAAAATAATAATTTAAAAATAAAAATTAAAACAAAAAAACAAAAAATCTATTAAAAAAAATTACATAACTGCCAATTAAGAAAAAGAAAAGAATCCAGAAATGGAGAGCTAATCTTAGGCAACAACATGAAAATTTACAAACGGAGTGCAAAGTCCTATGGCTTACCTTCTCGTTGGTGCACTTCGTTAAATAAGTTATACAAGTAGTAAATGTCTAATTAATGAAAAGAATAGCCAAGGCAACATTTTTATTAGTTTTATTTAAGATGAGTAATTGAGACCATTGCTAAGTAAGTAATAAAATAATACCTTCAAATTTTGTTGCTTGATTT